GTAATAATAAATTATATAAACAGAGCAGTTACATGTATTCACAACCTCAGTCACTCTCCACATACCTGTTTCTTTTCTGTGTGAATGATCTTTGCTGCACTTCACTGTTTGAAATGCAGACTTCTCACTGACATGATTGGAAACTGTGCAGGTGACATTGGTCTCTACATCCTGCTCCCTGATGATGTATTGTTGCCTGGGACCAGTTAGTGTTTGGTTTCCCACAATCCACTTGTAGCTGACATCACCAGTTGTGCTGCACTCCAGCAGAACTTTACATGATTCATTTGAGGGAATCCAGGTAGAACTGATTTTAATGACAGGCTGTTTAGTTATGGGCTCTAATGAGAAAACAGGAGACAGAAAGCGTGTCAGGTCACCTTTGGAATCACAGATGAAAGTAGATGTTTGTGCAGAGTTCAGCAAATGCATTATGTAAATTTAGGCCACTTAACAATAACTAACATCATTAAGTGCAGATAAGTATTGTTCACTACTGTGTCATGTTGTCATGCTCGCTGGGTCATGGACTGAGGGTTGTGAGTTTACTTGTGTGATTCCTATTCTTCCTGTGTCACTATTATCTCCTCCAGTCTGTTTATACTTAATTTAACTCCGTTTTACTTATATAGCTGCAAACAACAACAGTCGCCTCAATGTGCTTAATATTGTAGGGTTTTGTAAGTTTTTCTTCTCTGGGTAAATTCTAGGTAAGTCCAGGTATCTTGGTTTTATTATATTTATCGTGTCTGTCTAATGTTTTTGATGTGTCCTCTTTCCACGTTTGTTTGCATTTTTGTGTTTCTGTTTCTTCCTATTTTATCTTAGTGTCTGTTCTTCCTCGTGTCTTGTGTCTAGTTCTAATTCCTCTGTTTCGTTATCTATAATTAGCCCTGGATGTACTCCCACATGTTTCTTTTCCCCTCATTATACTGTGTGTATATATTGCCAATATTAATTTTCTTCCACTTTGCTGTGTTCTTCCTCAAGTTATGAGTCCGTCCTCCTGTGTGCTTCTCTTGTAAGTACCTGTTTTTCAGGTTATTAGCTGCTGCCTTTAATGAAGTTTATTCTTTGAGTTCCCAGCAGTAAAGCTGCTTGTAAGATTACTTCTCTTTTTCTAAAGGAGAAAGACAAGCTCTTAGGCTCACAGGGTTTCTTTTCATTAACAGTAATCAGGAACCTTTTTTAAAAGAAAAACAAAGTCTCTTACCATGAACTTGCAGAGTGATGCTGACTGAAGGCCTTTGCTTGAAAAACACCGCTGAGACAAAAATGAAATCACCAGAATCTTGAAGAGTCAGTCTTCTCACTGTTAAAGTAAAGTCTTCAGGGTTAAGCTGTGACCTGTCCTTAAATGGAGATCCTTTAAGAACACCCACATCTTTGTCTGCAATATTTATTCTCCCATATTTCCACATTGCTTCAGTCACACCTAGAGTTGGTAAGCCTGAC